TAGAAAGAATAAAATATAAAAAAATATTTTTTTTTAAAGTTTATTTAACACGAAAGTAATAGGGTGATAACTATGTTTTAGATTCTTTCAAAAAACACACAAACAATACCAAAAAAAAAAATAAATTAAAATTAAACTAAATTAAATTTATTATAAAAAAAAGATTTTTAAGTTTATTATGGGTATTGATTTTTGACCATACAACCAAACGGAGAATTCAGCTGGAGAGTACTGACAGAATAGATTAAGCCCAATAACTTGCACAAGAAAATGAGAATCCACCGGTGGTTCATCCACTCAGGGGCACTCCGACGATCAAGTTAGTCAACTTATCTCTCAAAGATAGCAAATTGTGCTTAAACTCACAAGAAAACTTACATCAAAATCACGAGGGTAACCAATAGCGACCTGATCCCATCAGAAGCCTCACTTCAGTGGATTCAGGCTTAATACTCATCCTAGACCCTCATCTAGATAAAGATAAATTCTTCTTGAGCCTTATCTTTATCCAGATTAAAATCCTCCCCTGTTATAAGACTCTTACCCCTTATCCGCTTATCTCGGATTCTAGCATTTCCACAGATAATCTCGGCCTAGCCGAGATCATCTTGGCAGCATGACCAAGCCACGTGGCACCTCGGCTGACACTTCGGTGTCACCCTGGCTACGTGCTGTCATTCACAAAATACGTCCCTACAACTGTCCCTATGTTCTATTACCTCGGCAACTTGAGGTGATGGAACCTACATCATTTGTCCATACTTCATGTCAGCCAAAATTCATTTTTCTCTTCGACCGAGATCATGACTCGTCGGCTTCATATAACCAGGACTTAGTCGTCCATTTTCCCAAGAATCAAGAATCAAGGGTGAAGAAGAAGCACTGCCGAGAGAGAGGAAAAATGAATTTTTAACATTTAAAAATGAGGAAAAATTAGATATATAACTTTTTAAATATATACGGTAAAAGTTCCCTGAGTAATTTTTTTTTTATTATATTTTATTTCATTTGGAAGCATTTGTGTTTCATTTCATTTGAATTACATATGACGTGGAAAATTGGTTTCCTACAAGTTGAGCAGTTATTTATCCACAAAGTCTTCAAAGAAATTTGACTAGAGTGCACTGATTCCGTCAATAAAGCATGCTCCACTTTTTCATTGTGCAATCATCTTTAATGGTGGGTTCCATTCCATACACTTTTGATTATTGTTTTTTGTTCTTGAGAAAAAAATAGTTTGTATTATTCTTCATATTTTTGTATTTTTAGTAAATTTTTTAATTTGGGATTTATTAGGAAAATTTACCCATAAGTCCTAGTTTCTGAAAAGTTGAACCATTTAGTCCTAAAAGTTTTCTTATGCTCCATTTAGTCCCATTTGCACATCAATCTAATGTTCGAAACATTAATCTGATGTTCGAAATCTAATGTTCGAAACATTAATCTGATGTTCGAAATCTAATGTTCGAAACATTAATCTGATGTTCGAAATCTAATGTTCGAAACATTAATCTGATGTTCGAAATCTAATGTTCGAAACATTAATCTGATGTTCGAAATCTAATGTTCGAAACATTAATCTGATGTTTGAAACATTGTAATAGGACCTTTCAGTCTATAAGAAAACTTTTAGGACTAAACAGTGCATAAGTTATTAATTTGGGATTTATTGGTGCATCCCCCAAAAAAATTCCTTCATGAATTTCTTGGGTTAAAACACTTCTAAATTGGACTTATCAATAAAAATCCCATAGAAAATAGGTCCAATTCAAGAAATAGCCAAGAAAAAGAAAAAAAATCTATTTAAATTTGGAAGGTTGGGTAGGACAATTCAGTAATTCCATATAAAGAGAAAAAATTGATTGATTGGATTTTATCATTAATTGAACTATATATTAGTTTGGAGTATTTATATATAAGTCTTAATTTATGAATTTATACTCTATTATTTAACTAAGATTTTTAAAAATTTTAAGTCTTATTAAATTTTTGATAGTCGGAATTATCTTTTAAACAATGATTGTTCATCATTTATTATTATCTATAAAATAATATTATGATTTGATATTTATTTTGATTTTTAAAATTTTAAAACATCAATTTTCAAATTGAAAAAATTATAAAAAAAAAGTATAAAAATTATAAAAATTGAATTATTTTTTTGTGGAAAACTAAAAATTTTATGTCTATAAAAGAGTATGATGATTGAATATTGATGTACAAAATTGGAAAAAAATATATTTTAAAAATGAAAAAAATTGATAATGTTCTCAGTTTTAAAACTGTAAAAAAAACTAATAATGTTCTCGGTTTTATTAAATAGTTGAATCAAACCAATATGTAGAAGGATAAAAACGTTTAATTTCATGCTCTGTTTTTTATCAGTTAGTGAAACAATTATCTGGAATATTACTATACAAAATTAATAATGTTATTAGTTTTTAAAATTGAAAAAAATTGATAATATTCTTAATTTTACATAGGACTTATTAGTTCAAAAAACCTTAGCGAGAACATGAATTATTATAACATTTGTAAATGAGAATTTTAAGTAATTAACTCAATTAGTTATCCTAATTAATTGCAAAAAGCTTAATTATTTTTTTAAAACATTTATTTTTTTGAGCAGAAAGTCCCATACATATGAACAAAGCACGTTGGTGTATGAATAACA